CAAATTTAAAACAGTTGGATTATTAGCTTCTCTATTGTGATAATTCTTGAAATGTCATATAAAGTGAAACAGTGTCTGACAAGTTATAAAATTCCTGAAATGTCATATAAAGCTGGCTCTTTGGAGCAGAATCTTCCTTATATTTTGTGCACTCTCCAGTACTGTGCACGCTGTCAAAGTCATTCAAATAATTAATTACACCACCTTTTTCTGGCAATAGGAAATATTTTGAGGTGCATCTTTCAAATGTATAATCTTTTCCTTCCTTGTACTTACTAGATGGCCACTTTGAAGGGCTGGCCCTAGCAATTTCACTGAGTTGAACAAAATAATTCTGTCACTCTGTCTCCCACATTTGCATGTCTAACTGCACTGACCAATCAGAAGCTGTGAATCATTAATAAATTCTGGGATGTCACCAATTGCCCAGTTTGTCCATAGGATGGTACTTCCTAATGGGTACAGAAACTATATAACAGAGCTAGGGCTGCAGGTATTAAGAGAAGCTGAAAAAATGAGATTCCAGCATATACTATTTTCATCATAATGGTCACATAATGTAAAGAAATATACTGACTACTCTTGGCAGTATAGACTGGACACTTGACTTTCAAATCAGATTTCTACCCCTGTTGTGTTATGGCTAATGAACAGCAATTTTACTACAAAAAAAAAAGTGTTGAGATCTGGCATATCTTTTCTTTACATGAGTACTGAGGGGACAAAAAGGCAAATCCTGAATCTGGTAAAAATAACCCTTGGACTTTGATCTTTTGGTAGAGTAAACCAGCTAATCCCTCTCAACTGAATGGAACAGAATTAAAAAACATGGTAAAACCAAGAAAGTGGAAGTCACGGCTGCATCTAATTTATCACTGTTATGATTAAAAGGCAGGCTCCAGACATAAGGGACTAAGAGAAAAAAAGAGCAGTTGGCTGGTTTTGTGAATCTAGGACTTGAAAGATATCAGGCATTTCTAAAGAAAGGCAGTAAGGACAGGAGACAGTAGATGAGGGCCAGCAGGGTAATGAAGGGCAAGAGCAGTTACTCCAGAAGAAAATTACTTCATTTTCTTCATTTACATTCTCTAGTAGCCTTACATGTCTAGTTCACATTTTGTTAGTAGGACTATACATAGACACAGCACTACAATACTATTCAAAGTGTACAGGGTAAAGCCTTGGAACATTCCACATAAGAAGCTTGGTTTTATTATTATTTGAGGGAGGGAGACTAAGTACAATGGCAGCAGAAGGGAAGGTTAGGCTTGCAAAGTGAGGTTTATTGTTCTGACAGAGGTGAGAAACACACAGAATTAAATTAAGACTGAAAACACAGCAAGAAAGAGAAAACAAAAACAAAAGCTAAACATACTCTGGAAATGCATTCTATTTGAAAGATGGGGGGGAGAAAAATACGGTGGAGTTTTCCAATCAGAATTGATTTTTCACTCTGCAGTAGCAAGGAGAGATTATTTAAAGGCCAAAATGAAAAAGCCAGTGGGATGGCAACACATAGGTCCTATTCTATGGTTTGCAATACACATTTTCATCTTGGCAAGAAACATGAGGTAGCTCAGAAACAATTCCAGAGTATATTTAGCTACTAAAGCTGCGGCACACAAATGTCACATTCCCATGAGTCAAACCTTTTAAAGAACCCCCTCTTTACACCCCCATAGATATTCCCCAAGATGCCTGCGCTGAATTAAAAGCTGAACATATGGATGGATGTGACATCATCAAAGCACCAGTGTCACAGAAAATAAAGTAGCAAGTGGATTCTGTACAATTAGTACAATTAGCGCAAAGTCATTTGTGAGTGCAGGAAAAGAAAGAAAACACTTTCCAAAGGAATAAACACAACCACTGAAGAACACTACAAAGCACTTTGCAAAACAAAAAGGGAATGTTAAAAAAAGAAAAAAAAATTATTTGTGAACGTGTGAAAGGAAAAGAAATCCACAGCAAAAGCGAAAACAAAATCTTTATAAAAGAACAGTAAGCGTAAAATTGTCGGGTTTAATTTTGCATAACAACTCGTTCCTTTGCCCTTTTACAATATTGAAGCAAGAGTAATTTTGGAACCAATGGGCTCTGACTGGGCAAGGCAAGGAGTAACAGCACACAAGTACACGATCATGATAAACACCCATGCGGTCACCTCTGCCGCCATTGTTATTATTGTGTGTAGCCTGCTTCCAGCTTTGTCAATATTCATAATTAGACCCCAAAGAATGCATGATATTTAAATGACCCTGTCAAGTGCTAATACGACTCTTTGGTAACCATCACTCCCTAGGGAGGTAACTGTTCAGTGCAAGCTACCTCATCAGTCAGTGAACCGAAGCAAAAATGATTAGAACCCAAGAGCAATACATTTATTAATATTTTCACTGTGTGCTGTTCTGGCACACCAGATGCTTTTAAGAAGTAGCCTTCCGTCCATTAAGAAGTTGTTCTGTGTGGAACCACACATAGCAAATAATGTCATTAGCATTCATATACACTTCTGCATTCCTCTCTGGCACATTAAGGGACAGATCCTCTGCTACTGGTGTAATCTGGCATAGCTCTATTGACATCTGTGGACCCACGCAACTGTATACCAGGAAAAAAGCTGACCTCAAGGCTGTATCCCCAATACAGATACAGACCAGGCCTTCTTAAACACAAACCCTTCTTTGTCTCTCTTTCTGAGTGGGTGGGAGAAAGTCAGAACTTCCTTTTGGGGACTGTAGGGGAGAGAAGACATGAGCACTTCCTGAGACACCTTGCCTTTATCTCAAGAATGCTGTATGTGACCAAGAGGTGAACTGAAAAAAATTACTGCTTTTCTGCCAGTAGCAACATCCCAGATATATTGACCAGACAAAACAGGAGTTGCAGGTGTTACCATTTCAGATTGTATGATGAGTTACTCTGTTTTACTTTCTATGTGGTGAGCAGAAAAGCGTTTCTCCCAATGTTACTGTAGCAGAGCTAAAGACTAAGGCAGGGGTGGCCAAAGTCTGGCCCACGGGCCAGACAGGGCCAACAGCAGACTCTATTTCCCAGCAGCTCCTGCTGCGGGAGGTCCTTCTGGCTGCCACCGCCCGATCTAACCCCGCTGCCCAGGCATTCCAGACTGTCCTCCCTGAATTCACGGGTGAGACCTGTGCGAGCAGGGCACACGGCCTGGTGGCTGGGATGGGGCCGTGGTTGGGAGTGAGACGGGCAGGTGGGGCAAAGGACACCCCAGGATCTTGGGAAGGATGGGGCAGAACTGCAATCTGCTGCCAGCACACTGCTATGATGAGCATCGGTTTCTTGGTCAGGGGTGCATAGGGAGCAGATTGTGGCTCTGCTGCAGCCCCATGCTGTCACTGCCCCAAGATCCCAGCTCTGCAGCAGCCCCCTGCCCAGCCGTGTGGTCTGCCCATGCAGTTCCTGTCCAGCCAGTCTCCAGGGAAATGAGCTGGGGGGGCCACCTGGACAGAGGCTGCTGGGAAATGGAGTCCAGCTGCTGGCCAGAGCTGCCATTTTACTTACCCCTGGACTAAGGGCTATATTCAAGGAATGACTTAGACAGCCAAAGTGCAATTCATAAGCCAAAGTCCAAAGGTGTGATCCTCAAATTCCTTGCTCAGTTGCTCTCAAATCCTGGAGGTGCCTAAACTCCACGGGCATTTCAGTTTTTTTTACTTTAAGTTGTCCAGGCATCTTAAGTTCTGCTTCTGCATGAGACCAGAAGTGTCTCATTCTGAGCACCTGGGTACATAGCTCATGCATAAGACTGATCAGACTTTGTGAAAACCTGTGCATGGGGGCCTATACTGTCCTCATATACAGTATATAGGTCTGGGAGTGGGGTAGAGGCGAGTGGTCCAAGTCACAGCTGTGGATTCCATGAGGCAAAAGTGCACTTAAAGTTTAGGCCCTGCAATGTTGAGCATTATAATCCTTAAGCCATTTTGTCAATCTATCCTGGGGTAGGCAACCCCTAGCACAGGTGCCAGAGTGTGGCATATGAAGGCATTTTACTTGGCACGTGTGCCTTGGGCAGGTGGTGGGAAAGGGGCCATGGATGCACTGCTACAACAAGGATCAGGCCCTTTGCATCTCGTTCACCTTCCGTCCCTGGCATGCCAACAACTTACAAGTCAAGGTTGTGGGTGTTTCTGGCATCTTGCCCAAAACACTGCCAGCCCCTGATCTATCCCATAGGTGCTTTTGAGAATCCCACTAAAAACCTACTTGCATCTTAAAAAAATTAACAACCCTCTTCACAGCCCAACCCCCAAAACGTGTTTAAAAGCTTAAATCTCATTGGCCACATCTACATGAGATGTGACTGCACAGTTGTTACTGTACAGTCAGTACTAAATGACTGTGCGGTAACCCAAGTTACTGCGCGGTAGTGCCAACAAATGGCTTTTTTGTGAAGTTACTGCACAGTAACCTGAGACTGCTGTGCAGTAGCATCGTGTCATGCTTTCTGCCATGCAACACTACTGCACAGTAGTCTTGGGTTACCGTGCAGTCAGCATCTCATTTAGATGAGGCCATTGAGAACAGAAAATGTTGGCTGCTTAAGTACCTTTAAGGATATGAGCCTATATGCCCATCTGCATGTGATTAGGCTAAATTAATCAAGGCTTGCTGAGTATTTAGATGGAAAGCAATACAGAAATGCATCGTTAATAATAATATAAAGCAGTGAATCATCTTTCATCAAAGATGATGATGAAACTCAAGCTTAAACAGTTAAATCTCCACCTCCTCAACTCACATCTACATACTCGCTGTAAATTCACATACATTTATTTGTGTTGTGTGGTTTCCTTAGTAAATAGCTAGGGCTAAGTCTAAAATTGCTTATTTTGCTTCTGACTTTGCGATAAGCTTTTAATTACAGAGCAGGAATTTTATTACATGTTGCCCTGAGCCAGCTGGAAGCAGTTACACTGTAGTCACCCCCCCTCCCTTTCCATCATAGGAAGTCATTTCCAAGGCCTTACCCTTCTTGTCTTGGTGATTATGAGATGACACTGCCACATGATCTGTATTTTCAGATGAGCCAACCGGATCCTTCCAATCCAGCATCCTAGTATCATAACCCTCTTGAGCCGGAGAGTCAGAAGTGGTGGTGCTTGGAAGTAGTGAACTGGAGTGTCCTGTTCATGTTATAAATACAGTTAGGAAAGATATGACACATTAGTCACTGGCCTGGCTATCTTACACTCAGGTGCACAAGCACTGCTTTCCCTGAATGATGGATAGACTTCTCTGAGGCTGCACAATGTTTTAAAAGCTGTTTGAAGCCATTGCCCATAGGAAATGCAGAACTTGAACCTGTTGGGTCAGTAAAAGGACCCACTTTCAGAAGAGTCAAAGAATGTTTACGGGTCTCTGAAACACTGGCTTTGCTTATATTCAAAGCTGTAGTGGTTTGGATTTAACATGACTGAGTTAAACTGATGCAGCCAGGTATGAGCACTCTTCATTCATTTCCAATTCATTTTCAAGTCCGTTGGCCTTGATTCAGTACGACAGTGACTTAAAACTATCTGATTACAAGCCGAATTTCCAGCAAATTAAGTGTCCACACTCCATTGCACGGGTTTAGCTGATTTTCAAGCCAATTTAAAGTTAAAATAGTGCAACTTTTAATATAGATAAATCTTGAGAATGATATATTAACCACACGCTGAACAGATCAGCTGATTGATTCTTGCCTCAGGTTCCCGATGGAATGACAGACTGTCCAGGACTTGGGTGCTCCCATGGTGACAAAAAGTTTATGAAATGCCATATGCTTTGTTATTTTCTCACACTGTTCTAGTGCTTTGGAGTGGTCTCTGCCCAAATGGGCTTATTAATTGGTCCAAAGGGGACTGTGTAATACAGCTAAAAGGAGAGCAGGCAAGAAACTGAGCATTATTTTCAGCCCCCACTCGCATGATTTTTGTCAGGGACACAGAAGTCACATGACCCCGAGCAGTATCTACTGACTCCTGTGGCTACTTTTATGATATTTGTCTACTGACTCCCTGTGGATGGAGCCCTGACATTTTTTAATCAGCCTGCGCCTTTTCAAGCTTTAATTTGTCTCTGCCCTGAGGGAGAATGTTTTTTTCAGGCTATTTATTTGGAGCCTAGATCCAGTTTTCCATGCAGGCTGCTACACACTACAGAAGCCATAATCTCGACTGCAGGAAAGGTTTATAGTCCTGTTCCATGAAGTTTTATAATGATTCAAAACACTGTTCTTGCTGTTTTTATTAGAAAGGCTGTTGCAAACACCTCTGACATGCTGCAAATTAACAAACAACATGCTCATGGGGCATGGCCAGCCAGGCTAAAAAAATCCCCCAAACAACCAAAAACCAAAACAAAAGATGTACAAACCTAAAATGGGACTTAGGTGAAATTTAGGCAGGTAACTCTGAAGTTGCAGTCCTGAAAACCCGTGCTCAACTGCTGTCTAACCCTGTTAAGATGCACCTAATTCTATAAGTGACTCAGCTCTGTAAGTGACCTCAATGCCTGGCTTATCAGGATCCAGAAGCTAGGCAGTCCTTTGCCTAAGTCCCTGGATGCCTGACATATACCACCAAGTTTGAATGTCCTCACAAAATGCAGGGGAAGCTGCTGCTTTCTTTCAAAATCTGGCTGAAGTAGGTGGAACTCCTTTTTATATAACAGCCTAGTGGTTTGTTAGAGCACCAACCTAGATTCAATTTTCTTTTACTCATGAAAGGATTCACCTCCTAGGAACATTCCCTAACCAGCTATCTTTTAGTTGGTTGGTGGGATAATCCCCTTCTGCTCCTGAAACTGTGGCACTATGCAAAAAAGAGCGGAAGGGAAACTGATTCTGATGGGTGAGACCTTGATTCCAAACAGCGTTCGTAGGCCTGTTCTGTATTTTACATTAAAACACTCATTTGATAAAACAATGCTCTAAGCAGCTGTATCCTGCACATGCTGACTTTAGGTGGCTTCCTGTACTGGCTGTTCTGGATCACATTTTGAGGTGCTTAGGATTTCCTTGCATGCTGTACAGGGAGCAGAGGCATCTGATTCAGGGCCCTAGATTCCAATTTAGGAGCCAGGCAGACAAGGTTCTTTGGGTAAATCTGATCTCTTTTATTAGACCAACTCAAATAGTTGGAAAACTTCTTTGTCATTTGAATTGGTCTAATAAAAGAGATCAGATTTACCCAAAGAACCTTGTCTGCCTGTGTCCTTCGACCAACACGACTACAACCTACACCCCTGTAATTCAGAAGCCAGGGATCTAAATAGCTGTTGATGTATCTAACTGCTAGATGCCTAAATCTGGCTGATCTGGTTTGTAACCACCTCACAAGGTTGAAGTGCAGTGGGAGTCAGCAAAAAAGCAGCAGCTTTCTATTGAATTGCTTTCTATTAAATTCTGCTAAATTCTACTAAATTTAATGGACCCGCACTGAATGTTAATTCATCCGGAGAGAAAGAAAAAATCTCTCTGCTTTTCCCATATACTTTCTAGTAGTTTATATGATTCATCACACAGGGTTACATGCAGTGGCACTTTGGACAACATTTAATCTAGGACATGAAGATAGCCATCTCCTGTATTTAACTGGTACCATTTGCAGGAAAAGCAGGTCAGATCCACAGTGTTTTTACCATGGACCCAGCCTTGAGATTCTACAGTAAATCATTAACATGATTAATTTAGAGCTGTACCCCAGGCTGCAGAATTATGCTGACAAGGGCACTGTATTATTCTTTATCTATCATGACAGGAAGTGTGGTTCCACCAGTTCTCTTTAATACTGCAAATGAGAGGCTGCATTTTGTTTAAAGAGATTTTTTTTGTATTGCTTACATACAATAGAGAAGCCAAGGAGATTATCCACTTCTAAAGACTTCCACAAAGCTACAGAGCAGTGCTGGAAGTATTGGTAACAGTTAAATGGATAGATTCTGATCCAAATGTGCTGTTTGGCCTTCAACTGTGCCAAAGAGGCACCTCTTTCCAAAGGGGCTGGTGCAGCTCCAGCTTGTGAACACATGTGCCTTTCTAAAATAGCAATATGCTGTAGCTCGAAAGCTCTGCCTTCCATACCATTTTATGCCTGTCAGCTCTTGTGCTCATCCCCAAGAAATAACAGAAGCAATGGGACAGAAAACAGGCTAGAAAGTAGAAATTATGAAACTTTCATGCTTTATTTTCCCTCAGGGTAAAACTATCATGCTAGGATTTGTGGGGTTCCAGACTCCAAGTTAATACCCCATTCAACAACTGCAATAATGTGTGCAATATTTGGTGAGCCCTGCAAATAATGCTGCCCTCCACATAAGAAACCAATTAGTCATAGCTTGATAAGGAGTTATAAGCAAGAGAAAGTACTGCCAAGTAGCAGTCATATTTTATACCTGTGTTTGATATGCATTTTATATCCACATCTCTGTGCAGACACTTTCAATTTAGCTGTGTTCAAGGGGCAATTTTATGGTAATGCCATAAGTATGGCTAAGGAAAAACATTTCTTAATACGGTAATCCAGGGGAAATATATGCCTAAGGGACACGTTTTCTGCAGAAAGATTTCCTGAACCATATGCTACAAATACATGGAGAACTCCCTGGTAATGGAAATCTATGGCTATGTGAAGATATTAATGTGTACCAGATGGCAGTTAGGTAGAGAAGTGTTTTACATAAATGCAAGAAAGCAGCTTATTCACTCTGTTACTAATGTGTTAGTCTAGTACATGTTGAGAAATGATTTTCTACCTGTAATTGAGAGAAATTTCTTCTATTTGATATACTTGAGAGAGGAAGAGGGGCAGCAATGGATGAAAGCATCATAACCTTTCCCACTTGTATTCAAGCCTAATGCTGCAGACATTTACTGCGGGATGCTGGTTGCTCCCATGAGAGCAGTATTACTGTACCTGGTCAGCATTTGTGAAATCAGCCCCTTAGGGTGAAATTCATCCTTCAGCAGTGTGCCATCAAAAAAGTATGTGCTACTTAAGTTTCACTTACACCCTCCAAGCAGGGCTTAAGAAGGATGTAAAAGGTATGCAGAGGTACACTTCACCCAGAGTGATTGTTGCATCTCAACAATGAACTGTACAGTTTGTAATATGCAACCAGCCTTTTTCTCATTAGGCCTCATTGCACCTTCCAATAGTGTAAAAATGCTTTACAGCAATATAAAGTGGCTTTAGCATAAATGAGAATTCATTTATGCTAGTCCAATATCTCTATATAGTGAGAGTCCAATATCATTGTCTTAACACACACTATGGTTATAAGCAATTCTATGTTATTTCTTCGTTAATATTTTGCCTTTGTTTTAAAATTACGCATCTGAACAATTGCAGGTATATACTACTTTTCAGGCCATTATTGTTAAGGCAGACTTGCTGTTTAAAGAAACAGGCTTTTTAAAAATCTGATTTAGGGGCCTGCATCATATGTGAAGCTCTGCCTTTGAGGTTCTGTAATCATCATAATAAGACAGGAACAAGCAATCAGATCCAGCAAGAGTATTGCACATTGAGGAATTTTGAAGTTGTAATTTAGTTTGTGTCTGTAAGCACTGATGGTGATTCAGAAGGGTTGTATTTCATTAATGACTATTCATTCTATAGTGTACTTATAGAAAATAGAGAGATTTTTTAACTTTAAAACAAAGACAGGGATTCAGTATGTATGTGGTAGTTAATCTAATGTTCACATCATTAAGACCTTAGAGCCTAAGATGTTCTACACACTGGGCACATCTACACGAGATGCTAACCGTGCAGTAGCCTAATAATACTGCACAATAGCGTGCCAGGCAAAAACTGTGCTTATACGCTACTGCACAGTAAGCATCACTAAAAACCTGGGTACTGGTGCTGCACAGTAGCATGAGTTACTGCACATTGATTTAGTACTCGGTTAACCACGTACTAAACGTAATGTGCTGTAACTACAGCGCGTTAATGAACATGTAGATACACCCATTTTCCTATTAGCAACTGTAGCAACCTAATAGAGAATTAGAAGGAAAGGCTAAATCACTACTACAGAGGGAGAAAGGAATGTGGCTAGAGGGTAAAATAAGGGCCCAATTCACTAAAAATTGAGGTTTCCAAAAGCCACTGAAGTTGCCTACAAGTCTGCAGAGGAAAGTCTGCTTTGAGTTAAGAATCTGAACTTTCTGTCTAAATAGTTGCATTTTGTTTCATATGAATCTGATTTTCCATCGAGTGGTCTTCTGCAGAGTCTCTTCTTTTGAGTGTGGAAAATGAGTGTGCATAGTTAGCTATGTGAGCACTTCATGTTATTGCTTGTTTATAGTTGATCATGTGAGTTTCCCCAGAAAAGGAAAATCTGTCTACCAATTCAAGAGGATGCTGATATGAAGAATACAAGTTAAGACCTTGGTTCTTCTCTCCGATACAATGGAAAAATTGGCAGTAGCTTCACTGAAGTTACAGGCTCCTAAGGTAGTCTGAATATCCATTTGACTGCATTCTGGTATATACCAGCAATTTGTGTTATGGCAATAAGGTATTTGTCAGTAATTTCACAATCCACTGTGAAATGCCAGTTAATTATGCATTTATATTTATGTTTAATAACTATAAAATGCACTCTTAATGTAGATAACTCTGTTCATGCTAAAATTATTTCTTTAGAATTATCATAATAGTTAGCAAGCATAAGAAATGTTTACAGAAACAGGAATAAGGACTGTCAACCCGATTGTGATGTTACTACTGTTATTTTAATAACTAATAAGAAATTTCTACTAATAAGAAATTCTCTTATCTAGTGACTGCTTATCAAAATTTGATTCAAGAATGTCATTAGTATTAAGTGCAAGAAATATGAATGAGAAAAAATTAGCGATGGGTCAGTATTTGCCCATTGTGTTGAATAAGAAAGATCTTTTTTAAGGAAAATAATCCAATAAATGATATCAGTTATTGGGAGAGAGAGGCTGATATCCAAGTGAATACTTTATACATTCACCTTTGGAACAATGGCATTTTTTACTTTGTTTCCCACTGGGACCAATGGTCATGACTTTGGTCAGATGAAAAGAATAGCCTCTCCCAAAGTCCACATTGCAATCTAGGTCAACCAACGACCCTTCCACAACCCTGGAGGTAAGACTGCATGTTGTACTTGTGACCGGGAATACCAAAATACTTGCCAATCAAAATGTTATTGCATATCAGCACTATGCACAAGTCATATTTCCTTTTCTTCCAATTCAGCAATGTACAGTTTATTACTGCTGTGCTTTAATTACTGCTATAGGCTTTGAAAGTATGAAACTTAAAACACTCTTTAAACTTGAAGAGAGGACGAGCTTGTTGGCAGATGAAACAGCAGCCTCCCACATATTACAAAGTTTAAGCTTGTCTTTGATTCTCTATATGTTGCCTTCATAGGTTTTCATTATCACACTTGCAAACAAATTTCACCTGCATATTTTCCATTTCCTAGTTATAAATAACTTTCAGAACATTTTTTTAACTGCTGAATGCCATTACTGTGTCTGCAGTTATTTACATTTTGCTTCAGTGAGCTGCTTTTGATTCTGTTTTGTACTTTAAGCTTCTTGTAAGCACAGGATGAAGGTATTCATCTAATGTGTGCTGCACACTACCTGCTAAATTTGTCTCAGTTTGATGGAGTTTAGGCCTGTGTAGTCTGAACACTAATCACCAATCCTGCACCACTGAACTTAATGGGAATTTGCTGTTAACTTCATGGGAAGCAACAGCACTTCCTCCTGGCTTGTGGGCATCTACCTCTGTTAGAGTAATGACTAATGGATTATCTGTATGGTGAAGCTATAGCAAAAAGAGTTTGGGTTTGAATGTGATGTGTAATAGCTGTTTTGCACTAACATCTCAAGTGGACACTAAAAGTTCACAATTCTGCACTAAAAGCACTTTTGTGATTTAGCTTAATCTTTCAAAATGGACTAAGCTAAACTGCACAGAGGTACTCTGAGGGCACAATATGTGCATCTAGATCGGAAGCTACTATGGACTAACCATTCCCCAACAGCTATTCTGAGCTATTTCCACCATACACAACCCTTTACCGGTACTACAGGTACTGGGGTTAGAACTTATTAATGTGAATCCCTTTGCCTTCAGAGTAATGGGTGGGATTCTTCAGGGACTGAGCTAGGATATTCTGAATGTTGTGGAAATCTCCAAATAAATAAGGCACTTTAGAAGTGTGGAGGTGATGCACCTTTTGTCATGAAGTTTGCTGAGCCAACCTTAACTGGTGAAAGTTTCAAAGTAGCTTTTGTTATGGCAAGTTACTCCATAACTGCCTAAGGCAGAGTTCCTTGCTCCTTTTCCTGGAACTGGCTGCAGTGGAGCCAGGATGCTGGACCATATAGACTATTTCTTTGACCTGGCGGGGCTGTTCCTATTTTCTTTTCCTCAGTGAGTAGTTATGTAACTGTTCCCCAGGATCCCTCTTTCTAGACAGTGGTGTAGCTTTTGGTCAGCTCTGTTAAGAGTTCTGCATTTTGAGTGCTATTAAAATTGGTCAGAAACTGTTTTGGTTCCAGTCAGTTTTGAGGGAAGATCAAGAAATGAATAATTGTATATCAAGAAGAATAATGTGGGTATGTGATTAGTGAATCAGGCCCAATGCAACAAAACAAAAATGATTATTTCTATTTGGGAATGGGAACCAGCTAACACAAGGATTTGGGGAGAATTTTTAAAAATTTCCATAAACTGACCATACACTGTGTTGTAAGACATTTCATGATCAGGCGAAGCAGTTGAAATGTCTATGAAAAAATAAATGAGGAAAATACATTTAAAAAGTATGAAAATAGTTAAAAGATTAGTAAAAGATGATTCCTCCAAAACAGAACTGTACAGACAGCAAATGACGTGACTAAGAACTTCCTTACCATTCAGTGCAACGAAGGAATCTGGAAGACAAAGAAAGAGCGAGAGAGAAATCATTATTTCTAACACCATGTTAATTATTTGCTACTAACAAAACGTCTTCTAATTCTGTTGGTATTTAATTATAAGTGTAGTGCCCAAGGCCTCAATAGAGATCACAGCCTTGCTGAGCTAAATGCTATACAAACACAGGTAAGAGATGGTGTACAGTCTAAAGCCTCAGTCCTGCAATAAGAACCATGACAGCAGACCACGTCCACCATGTGGTGGGATCAAATCCTTTGCAGTACCAGGTCCTAATTTAAGACAAGATACAACAAGTGATATAAGCAGCAACAGAAACTTGGCGGGGGGAGAAGGGGAAAAGAGGGGCAAGTAAAAGCTCACTTTGTCCAATGTCACATAGGGCGTGCCTACATGTGAATTTAAGCCTATTTAAATTTAATGTGCGTTAAGCATTTTTTGGCAGGTGTCCACACGTGGTAGGATTTGGGACTAAATTTAGTCCCAAGTCACTCCAGCCCTGCTATGTGCCTCTGTGGCCACTAGGGTGGAGCTCCAGCCTCTGGACACATGGCTATCAGCACTTGGCAGCCATGCTGAAGGTAAAGCCAACTTGCAGCACTTGGCAGCGATCTTGAAAGCACATCCTCTGCACTGCGACCTCTGGGCTGACACTTCCTGTGTCAGAGCAGCAGCATGGCAGAAATACAGACAGCATGTGCCTGCCCTGCTCCTACCATAGCTGTGCTTCCTAGCTCTGGCTGTCCCAGCTCCTGGCCCAGGCACCCAGGGACAGGGTCCCCTGCTCCTCAGGGCTGCCTCAGCTGTCCTGCTCATCCGCCACTCTTCCGAGTGCCTGCCACTCGGCCATCTTGAGCCACCTGACTCCTCCATCTGCTCCGGCTGCCTGCTGGACGACTGGTACATTGCCTTCCAGGGCTCTCGTTGCCATGCAGCTGCTGCCACCAGCCATGGTGACCACGGGCTCCAGGACATCGTTGCTTTCCTGTCCCACCAGGCCCACTGCCTCTGGGCCCGTTGCGCCAGGCAGGATTGGTGGCAGCACATAGTGCTGCAGGAATGGGATGATGACCAGTGGGTCAACATGTTCTGGATGACCCAGGTCACCTCTGCAGACCTGCTGCGCCAGCTCCAGCCCCATCTGGAGTACCAGGAGACAGAGTTGTGCCCGTATGTCCCCACCAACATCCACCTGCTGTGTGGCCCACACACACCCTTCCCGTCCACCACCCAGCACTACTCCAGAACACACACGTTTGCTATGAAAACCTTTATTCCCCTCACAACCCCCACCCCCCACACAACCAACAGAGCCCCCTCCCCCCTCCCAACACACAGAGCCCCTCCACCGCCCCCCCCAATTGCCAACAATAAAAAACTCTCCTCCCAAACTGAAAACTATGTGCAAGAGTCTCAGTCTTTCTCTGAGTCCTGGAGTGGGGGCTGTGGGGTGAGGGCACCCAGTGTGCAGAGCCTGGTGGCAGACAGTCAGCACTTTGGCTGCAGACTGTGAACGCCAGGGGCTCCTGTGGGCAGGAGGTGGCAGAGGCCCTCCTCTGAGGCCTAGGAGGGGGCCTGCTGTGGGGCAGCAGGCAGGAACCAGAGGCCCTGTGGGGCCGGGGTCAGGTGCCAGGTGTGGGAGGTCTGGACATGGCCTGTACTGGCTGGCCTTGGCTGACCAGTTGCTGCTGAAACAGTTTTATGCGTCACTGCTCCAGGGTCTCCAGACAGGCCCAGTGCTCTGGCTGTGCCTGGTCTCGTGCCTCCTCCCAGGTGGTCTCCTGGGTGATATCTTCCTTCCACCAAGCCAGCTTCCACTCCTCCCGCGCCTGCTGCCACGCTTGCTCCTGCGTTGCCTAGTTCTCCACCACCACTACTAGCCACCGGAGCAGGAAGGTCCAGTCCCTGGTGCACTGCTGGCGCAGCCGTTGCATCCAGGCAGCTCCAGTGGTGGGTGGTGTTGACCATGAAGCGGCACTCCTGCAGGGCTCTGTAGCCCCTCTTCTGTGTCCAGATGTTGGCACTGAAGAGGCAAGAGACAGAAGCCTTTTGTGCTAGTTTGCTACATTGCAGAGATAAGATGTTCTGCACCAGGGGCCCTACGCTGCCCAGCCTCAGATCGGAGGCTGACTGTGTACAGGTGCCCAGAGACCATGGTAAGCTGTCTGGGCAGTACTGGGCCCAGGGGCCACCAGCCAAACACCCTGACCCCACTTGCTCCCTTGAGGCCGGTGACTCATTGGGTGCTGGCTGCAGGCAGTCTGCCTCCCCTGCCCCAGGAACATCTGTGCTCCGGAGCTACGATGGCATGGGAGGCAAGCCCAGGCTGCCCCACAACCTCGGTTGCTGCCTGGAGGGCTACCTGTTACAGTACTACATATCTCTGCCCTCTGCTGTTAAGGAGGACATTGCCACCAGCATCCACACCTTCTGCAGCGTGAGAGGCCTGTGCCCACCCAGCTGTGGGGACATAGGCTGCTCAAAGTTTTGAACTGTGTCTTGCCCCTCTGTGTGCTGTGGCGGGAGGGGGGGAACCTGGCATCAGGGAAGCGCAGGTAGTTGGGGCAGAGGCAGAGCTGGGGACTGGGAGGACACTTCCTGAGTGCAGGACTTACCACGTGTCCGGGGCTGGTGAGGTAGGTGGATTGGCACAGGGCTCCCCCTCAGTGATGGCATCCAGCTGTGTCCGTTGTCCATGGCCTGCTGTGTGGCAGGTCGGCACCTGGCCAGGGCGCCTTCACCCTGTCCCACCCCTGGGAGGAGCTGGCAGTGGCATGGCCGGCCACTCCTCATGGCAGTGTGTGGGGCTAGGCCAAGGGCAGGCAGCCATTGGGCAGGGCTCCCTGAGCTGCTAGTGGATGCAGCAGCTGGGGATGTGGGTGGGACAGGGTGCTGAAGGCCCGAGGTCCCCTCTGCTGGTGATGCATCACTGGAGGTATCAGGGTGGGGTGTGGGCAAGGGCAGGCCGCCCCTACTGGTGATACTCGCAGGGGTGCAACCTGTCTCCTGGGGTGCCAAAATTTGGGTCAGCTCCCACCTAAAGGACATGGTGTTTTGGGCACAGTCTTTTGGGCATGACCGCACTGATGATTGAACTCGGTCATGGCCACCCACTGTGCTCACAAGACCTTGGCTTTCATGTGGCATTACTGTGCTGTCTGGGAGTGGCCTCACGCATGTATCCCGCCAGGTATGGCCTCATAAATGTGGGCGTTTAAATGCCCACCCCACACAAACTGCCTCTGGACATCAGCCAGAGCACCACAAGATTGTGCACCTCCTCCAGGTTCCAGTTCAGGGCCCGGGCACTCAGGATGGGCTTGGGCATGTGGGTGGAGCCAGGGCTCGATGGGGATGACATGCTGGACATGCTCCCCACGCTGTCTCTCTGGGCTCTTGCACAGCTGTCCCTGTGATGCCGGCCCTGAAGGGCTGCCAGTAGCACCCAGGACAGGAGCATGGGCAAAGACCACGAGCTGTGCAGCAGAGGCACTTCACCACAGTGCCTGCAAAGAGACGGAACTGGGGGTGAGGAGCAGCAGGGAGCAGGTGCTGGCTGTGCTGCCATAGAGAGCGGGGCCAGGAGCCCTGGGAGGAGTCTCAGGGCTGGGCAAGGGATGCAGCAGGCTGCAGCCCTTTGCAACACTCACCTGTGGTGAGGGAGCAGCTCCAGCTAGGGGACAGGACAGGCAGAGGCTGCCTGGGCCCTGTCCAGTGGGGGCACATGGGGCCTGGTGGGCTCCTGCAGACTGCATTGGCTCCTTCAGGCTCCCTGTGCTGTGTGCCCAAAGGCACAAAATGAGGCAGACCCAGCACTAAAGTCCTTGTGTTAATGTGCATTAATGCATCTACACGTGCATTTATGCACTTTAACTAATCGCGCCTAAATTTGATACTTGCTTTATGCAGGTATCAAAGTTAGGTGTGATTAGCCTAAAATCACCATTTTAAGGCACATTAAATGCTCATATGTAGACATGCCTACATGGTAATAAAATCATGTAGGTTAACATTGGTTAACACTGAGTGAAATCTATCCCTGTGCAGTGATACAACCATTACTCTGTGACTAAGTGGGATTTAAGAGGTGTTATTGCTGTTGTGCTGTCACTTTGCACACAGGAGTGAATTCTGTCCAATGTTCTCAACTTGATTCTGAGTCATTTACTTTTCTCAATAACTGGCATCAAATATACTCCATGGCTATTCCATGCAGACACTATTAATCAGCCAGTTCCCTGTAATCATCATGACGGAAGTGGTTGTTTGGTAGGGCCAGGGAGAGGGCAATTGTCTCATGGATTAATAGTTATGAAACAGTTAAACAGTTACAGCCTCAGCATAACACTTGCATTTAAACTGTGAAACCGCTCATTGTCTGACAGCTGACATTTCAACAGGTATTTGCGTAAGGAATGTGGCTTTGGAGACATTCTGATCCTTAGTTTTACATGGTTCAAACTGATTTTGGAAGTATCTGACAAAGTAGCTAGGATATGCAGTCAGAACACTGTTGGGACCCATATATGCATGACATGTGGGTATCCAGTAGAGTCCTCTGCCTCAAATATTAAACTCTTCATAAATGTCAAGTCTTACTGCAATTGCAATTAATTCACTGCCATTAACTGCAATTAATAAAAAGTCCCAAAACTTCAAAAACAGCAGGACTAAGGGCAAAATTACATAGTTTAGGTACTGGGTCAGGGATACGAACCATTCTATCCTGTGGGAAGCTGTGAAGGGACTGTGAGAAATATTCACTGCAGGGAGACTGCACTCGAGAATGGCACTGCCTGCTGCCTTTAGTTTTCTCAGTCCAGCAAAAGATTGATATGGAAGTGAAATGGAGCAGCCAGAGGATAAAGTCCTTGAGTTCTCCCAAGTACAGGGACTGCAATAAGAAATGGCCCTTGAACTTGGCTGTACATGATATGGGGAGGAACCTGGCATTCTCTCCAGCTGTGTGCCTATGCAGGAGCTGGCCATACTTTGGCCTTAAGTCAATTTGCTTTACTGCTCTATTTTCTGTAAGTGTGGGCTCAGTGCACATTAACTCCTCAGCTTCAACAATTTTATTGTGTCTGCAGGCAGCAGGAGAAAATCGACAGTGAAGAATTGGATTGTACAGGGTTTAAAATAATGCCCAGATTTTGAACTGAATCAACGCAGGAAAGAACATTTAAAATGACAGGGGTCTTGAATAGCCTTAGGTATTTCTGAAGTCTTCTATCAGTCCATGTGATTTCAAGGAATAGAACATGTGCTGTACTCCCTGGGAACTATGGGCGCTGTTACATGTGCTCTAGAGTTGGGGGAGGTAGAGGGGGCTTTAATTAGAGAGGCTCTTGGGAGCCGTTCTAATTAAAGTGCCCACAGTGCCTTGCGTATTCAGTGTCCTGTGCTTCAAAATGGCAGCAGGGGGGTTTTAACTAAAGCTCGTTTGAGAAGCTTCAGTTAAAGTGCCCCCACCATTTTGAAGTGTAGGGACACTGAATACACATGATGCCAAGGCTGCTGGAGCATGCTAATTAGAACATGTTGGGGTAGGCATTGGGCATGTGTATAGGTGCCCTATAGGTACTAGGGTAGCCCAACAAAACACTGTAAGTGCCTCACTATCCCTTTCAATTTCTAAGTCCAAACCTAAACCCCTGCTGAGCTTCCACCTAAAGACAAAGTTCTTTAGGAATGCTGGGAGCACTCCAGTCTTCACAGTGTTGGCCAGCACATCTCTCTCACACAGCCCTACTGTGATTTGCAAACTAACCATCCCTTTGAAACCTGCCTACAGGACGGAATAGACAGACATGTTTATGGCAATTATGCCTTACAGCTCATGTGCTACAGCAAATGCAACTATTATCCAATAGTTTAGTAGTTAGAACACTCAGTAAGGATAGGAAAGATCTAAGCGCAAATCTGTTGCATGATGGGATTTGAAGTCACATCTCTCACCTCCCAGCAGTGATCCCCAATCACAAAGTTTTGGGGTATTCAGGGTTCAAGTATGTCAAGTGTACCTTGGCTTATCCTTTGTTTCTGAGCAAATTTTGATGTGATCCTTTTGTATTGAGCCAGGGAACGGGTGTGATATTGCAGGGATTTTGGACATAAGGTCTCTTAAATACTCCTTATGAGATTAGCACAGATATATTTTAAATAATCATGAAAAAGCATGAAGCAGGATGTGATCATTAATGGTGCTCATTATATCATCTCAAGGCCACATTCTAATAGCCTTGTTCTCATGTTACAAACCATGTGGTTTAAGAAGAGGTCATCTGATGCCATGGACATGAATGTGAATTCTCAAGATACTGCTCAAGGTGAGTAAGGGTGTTAGAATTTGGCCTAGGGGGCTAGTCTTCATTCCAGGCTTACTGCTCACATTGTCCTACACCGCACAATACATTTCCTCAGAAAGAATCCTGGGTCCACTGAAGTCAAAAGCAAAACTTCCATTGACTTCACTGGAGTTATTATTTTACCCTAGGAAATTTGGATGGTACTCAAAGCATGAGGGATCGGGCCTGTTATCCACAAGCTTGTATCTTTTTTGAGGTCTAAGCATAAAGAAGCTTTAGTTAGATTCTCAAGAAGTCACCAATCCCTCACTGCTGCACTGTACTCTTACAGGACCACCAAGGCCAGACACTAAGGGGAGGCCGTCTTTACTGTTCTCAATGCTCTCCTCTTGCACATAGCTTTTCTTACTCCTGGGGGCTGAGAAACCAAGTCAGAGTAATTAGGCTTGACGGTAGCTCTTTCCTGTCCTCTATGCCCAAGATTTGTAAAGCAACAAAGTGTAGTTTGCACTGCTGTATTAAGCCCCTGTGTTCAAGATTATGTACAGAAACAAACTAATCCACCCATGGATTGATAAAGGTGGTAGTGACATTTGATTATTACTGCTATAATTAAAATCCTTCAAAACTTGAGGTGTCCTGCAATATAACTGCCTTTGAAATGAGTGCCACCATCTATAAACAAACTGTCTAGTGTTTTTTTTAGACACATATACACAAATACTTTTCTTAGATGTATTACTTAAAGCATTATTGCTGTTATTGTTACAGGTTTCATTGCTACCAACAGAACTCTGAGCAGGTAATGGGGATTTGGGGCATTCAGAAAGATTCCCTGACACAAGATAAACACAGGGTAAAAGCTTTGCTTACTTTGGCAGTCACCCAGGCCATCTGTATTGCCATGCTCTATGTCCTGTTCAAATGCCAGTCTAAATACCAGAAAGAAACATAATGATGTGAATAACAACACTCTCAGGCACCACCAGAGAGAAATCAGTACATCTAAAATTGAAATACAGATAAACAACAAAGCTGATCGCTTCTTTTGCAAAGCAACACAACACTTGAAAAACACAAACATGGACCATTTGGGGTAATTTTCACCTCTGAATCTTTCTTTGGCTGCAGAAGACACTTTACCTTTTGTGGTGGAAAATCTACTACATCCCTATAGTCCAATGAAACAGACAGATATACATCTTCATGAAAAAAAATGAAGAAATTCAGTGAATCAAGTGATAACCCTTAAGCAAACAATGAAGGCATCAGGAAGCAATTTTGATTCTATCCTTACTTGCTTGTACAAGGTAGATGGTGCAGTGCCATTATGACAAGAAAAGGCTGATGAAACAATGTGTAGGTGCTGAGCTGAGATGCCATGGACCAGATTCTTAAAAAGCATTAAGTCAATATTATTGTGCTGAGCATTTCAGGGTGGAAAGCATTTCAGCACCTAACTCCCAATAAAATTAACAACCTAGATTACATAATGGACTTTTGCACTTAAGGCTAACCTGGCCTTGCAATGCCAAGTGGAAAAAAACTTAGATGCCTTTAAAACTCTGGCCTACACTACAGAAATGCTGATAGATGACAACACTGTGCTCTTCAACGTTGTTCTGTCTAATGACTGCTCTGAGGCACAGTCTGTGTTGCTGTAATGAATACGACACAATGGAGCATTATAGTTAACTAAGATCCTACAGCAGATCTTAAAAAAACTCTCCAAATTAAAAGAAAGGATTAAATGTCTGGTTTAGGTAGAGGGATGATAACTCACCCATTTTGCATTTATTGAAGACCTGTAAAGAAGCGGTGTTAAGAAAGGCTGCCTAAAGGAATACAAAGGACATCTGATACTAATGCTACACTTGTATCAATATCTTGATGAAGTACAGCCAAAACTTAAAGTAGGTGAGCTTGTGGTGGTCAGACCCAGCCAAGAAAAGAGACCTCTGAGGTGGGTCTGTTGTCTGCAGGGAGGCACTTATACATGTATGTAAACAAACTTTCAGAGCCTCTTATGAAACAATGAAATTTCACTGTTAAGCAATGAGACCCATCACTTCCTAGTTTACTCTCAGCCCTTGCTAGTGCTCTGTGATTCCTCTTGGTAATGCACAGTAAATTAGAAGGACTGGTTTTGTTTTCAGTGGACAAACTGCTTCAGTAATCTAATTTGGATTCTATTGCTTCTTTAATCAGCTGTGATGGCACCAGTGTGTGCTAGTCCAGACTTGCTTATCCTGTTCCCTCTCTTTGAGCAATATGTGAGACTTATTGTGTTTCTTTCTTCTTTTGTTTTTTTCTTCAGGGTAACTAATCAGCTGAGAATTTGCATCAACCAGTATAGAGGAAATCCAGAGAACACAAATGAGGTGAAAATAAACATTTTGCACATACTTTTTTCCAAGAGCTCAGTGTTGCCTGTTGGATTTTTCAAGTAGTTCTGTCCAAACCTAGAGCTGATTGCCATCAGTGCTAAGGTCAGTAATTTTTACTCAGTCTACCAATGCCAATGTCTACTTACTTAGCGCTAAGTAACAGACGTGTACATGTCCCGCTTTCTTTCACCCAGCCACAGTATGGGTCTCTGGAGGCTATGCAGGCCCTTAAAAAAAAAAAAGAACATTAAGCAGTCATGGTACTCCTTCTAAAGATTTCTAATAGCCTGTATGCTTTGCAACATGCACAATTTAAACAGCAGGAAAATATTCTCATGAAACACGTACTTTTTGCACTTTCCATGACGCTCACATCGTCCCAGGGGAACCTTTATCACACAGGTAGAGAATGCTACATACAGGGCACTGCTTTGTTTGTCAAGCTGCATACCCATAATCCTCTTGTCTTCCACTCCATCATAACTGCACCTGATTTGACAAAGTAGGGTAATGTTATAAATGGATTCCTTGGGGAAACTTGTTAATAGCATAATGAATCCTTAATCCTAGTAAATTCAGGAGAGAAAAATTTATTAGGCCAGGGGAAAAGAATATCTATCATCCACTGAAATCACTGCTACAAAGATTTACAGAGAAGTATTACACAAGCATCATGCGTGTTGCTTCCTTTCCCTAACATCAGAGGGGCAGCTGGTAGGTCAGATAATTCTACAAGCTGTATTAGATGTTGCAGATATAGCTTCTTGCACTATAGCCACCACAGTAGAAATAGGAAGCTGCTGGCATGACATACTCCATGATGGCCCGTCAAGTCTTAAATTCACTCCTCTCCCCATCTGAGGTAGCTTGAATTTACTGAAGTTGATTGCATTGAGGATGGCCGAGGTTTGGGTTGTGGGTCTATGGTTGCCATGAGATCAGTTTTTGGAGGTATTAGGAAGGGGTTCGTTTTGTCGGGAGGTTGCTGCTGAGCTTTAACTGTTTGTTTTGATTACAGTGCATTTTTAATTATTTGTCAAGGGTGCTAAGGACTAACTGGGATGGACAATTTTCTCTGTATGCTGTAACTAAAATGAAATATAATTTAGAGATATGAGAATAAACACAAAAGAAAAAATGAAAATGACTCCAAAACACTGGCTTCTGGGGCCATTTCCTTTCCACAGGACAGAATGTACCCTGGGATATCAGAAGTGTCAATGCCACCCTGTAGGTATGCACAAAGAGCCAGATACACACTTTTCAGGATTATAAACGTTCATCTCCTCCAGGAAAAGGCTATCATTTAGGAAACCGCTGTTTCCTGTCCGGGCCAAGAACTTCAAGATGATTCCCTTCTCTGATCCCAAGAAAACCACAGTGTAATTCTGATATGGTCCAGCGGCAGTGTCTACTGCAATTTTGGTCAGACGATATCTAAAATAACAACATAGCATTTATCATCACTTGAGTTGCAGTGTCATTTATTTTATCACTTTTTCCACTTCAGATAATTATTTGGTAGCCTGCTTGTAATTTTATAGTAAATATATATGTACATAAACATTTTCCCTAGCACAACTAACTCTATAGGTTCACACAAAGTGTATTAGTTGGGCTACAAACTGTGTGTGTGTGTGTGTGCATGTACATGGTTGTGTGTATGCGTGACATGGCTAGCAAAAGTGTTTGCAAAAGCAAACCTCAAACAGCATGCTGAACAGGTGAATAATTCTCTGAAACCATTTACTTATTACCCTTCTAAGCTGAAACGAAGTTCTGGTCTGATGACTTCTAGGATCAGGAAAAGAAACTAAGTACATGGAATGTTTGAAATGTCATGTTCTGTCACATAAAAGCAATCAAGGGTGCTGGACTATCTATATTCATACTTTTGATAGTAAAAGCTATGCCAGTGCAATACTGAGACACTAAATGCTAAATAAGCCAAATAAGCTCTGCTTATACTTCCCTGTGTATAACCATATAACTACCACCAACATAGCCCAGATGTTGGATGAGATCAGCTCATGATGAAGAACGGCTGTTTGAAGCTGAAATTGAGCAAGGCAAATATGATACTGCCAAGCAAGGAAATGCATTCTGAGGAGTTTGCTGCATGACACAATCAATTCTTTGGTCAAAGATATAGACAAAATCAGTCAATTCAATCTGCAGTTTAGGAATGCTTCTGGATTCCTCTCTGATGCTAACCTGTCACATAACTACTACTTTCTACCATCTCCAGGAGTCTAGGGGACTCCAATAGCTCTGGTTGTACATGATTAATGAATTAATACAGGACACTGTAATGTGTCTCCTCAGCATCAAAAACTACTGCTACCTCATCATATCTGTCCTCCACTCTTTCTTCCATGGCCTGCTGTAGGACATTGAATCAGATTTCAGGACTCTATCTTTATTTTCAATGCGGTCTATGGCCTGGGCACATGGTCTTATAGCTGCAAGAGGAGAATCCTGGTTGACAGTTTTGCTTCTCTGGCATCATAGGCCTTTCAATAATTATTTCAATAATAAGGATAAGTCTTATGTGGGTGACAAAGCTTAACTGGTACTGTTCTGTGCCATGGGATAAATTTTCACAAGAACTAAAGAGAAGCACAAACCTCATCAACTTCTACTCAAAGAACATTCCTTTAACCTGCCCACTTTAAAATAAACACATAGCAGCATTTACATAACTCTGCCAAAACTAAACACCATATTACAGATGCGATTCTGCCCTTGTAGAGAGGGATGAGGGAAGGAATAAACTACATGCTGCAAAAGTTATTCAGATGGTATAATAACTTACTGCAGTATGGACAGGTATTACAGTAATAGGCACAATATAATAACCAATATAAAACAGAATTGAAATGTGTTTCACAGAATGTGAGGGCAACACATTTCTGAGGGCTGTTGATTAATGAGAGTTTGTGTAAATCTCTTTATTATTATTTCTTTTCTCACTGTCAGCATGGATAGGGATTATGTGATTATTTCTGTTTGTACACTTGTGTAAACATTGGAACACACCAGTGCATATCCTGACAGACATCCTGAGGACATATCCTGACAGATATCTTTATATCCTGTGGACATATCCCCTGGCTATCTGTTGAGCTTTACCCAAAACTTTTTACAGAGCTGATCCATAAGCAAACATGCAGGTCAATGTTCCTTGCTCTGCATTTCCTCTGAGATCAGGATTCAGCACAGGATGGCTGGAAAGGACTGAAATCTTTTCCAATCTTGAAAGTTGCTTTGGGAGTTTTGTGCTACTCAGCACTGTCATTATTCATAACTGGATTCACGTGCAGCACAACAGAAATGTTTACAGAATTTCATAGCATCTTAGGACTGTTATGAACAGAACCCAGCAGCACATGAAGAAAATGATCGAAGTCCATTCGGAATGTATTTACCTGACCATCGTCCTCAGGAACCAGGGTCTGTTGACAATTGAAGGTACAGCCTCGTCCATGAGAGGGTGTGTTTTGATAAAGTTTAGAGTATCATCTGGGAACTCATTTGAGCTTACATACTTTTCTAATGATGCAGACCCAGCACAGCAACCTGGCCTACATAAAACAAGGGGAAAAGTTCTGATTTACTGTCTTAGTACAAATCTGCTAAGTGCACTGATTTTCTAAGCATCTGGAAATAGGTGAGAATGTGCCAAAGACCACAAGGAAGCAAACCATCACTGAGAATGAAATTTCATTAGACTTCCCTTTGCCTGCTTAGTCCTTTTGGGGAGTTCAGATCTCTGTTTTAAAAAGAACTGTTCACAGTATTTCTGTCCAGATGGAGCCTAATAAATATATAGATTTATTTTGCAAGGCACTGCTCACTGCCAACACACTCAGGTGTTAACTTGCCCACAACCACATTCTTTTTCCTATAATAAGTGCACTTCGTTTGATTTACAAGGGAGAAGTTCCTTTTTTTAAAAACAACTGTGAAATAAAACTTCAAACTGCTGTCTGCTGAGTGTCAGGGGTGCGACTGAGTTAGAGGCAGCGTAAACGCTATATTTATTGTGATTTGTTTGTTTCTGACAAGTATGAGAACCCCGATACTGTAGACATGAGCAAATCTTACAGAGTTCTTTTAATGGGATGTACCATTATTGTAGTCAGGTAACTTCGTTGCTCATTTTATTCCTAAAAACTACCCCTAGCTTTTAAAGCAATTGCATACCCCAGCTAAGACAGGGAGGTCATAGAGTATTAGCAAAGGTTGTGTTGGTTATTTTGTACAAAAATTGTTCAGCCTCTCTTTCTTTCTACCATTATAGTTTTTCAGCCTTTGAGTCCCAGTGAGATTGGACAATGACAGCCTGCAGGTCCACTCATGCAGTAATGAACTTGAATAGGGCCAGATCTAGGCTAGGTCCCCTGAAGTCAATGTTGTTAATTCAGTTTACACAAAATGAGATGTTGGACCTAGATAACATTTATTCTTCAGATATAGGCAAATTTTCAAATGTGAGTACTAAAGCTAGGAACCTACATTCATAGTTACGCATCCCAAAAAAGTGACCTCCCTTTCTGATATGCCTAAGTGTGACCAGTTCCCACAAACTTCAGCGTGAGTTGCAAGTAATTATCACTTTTAAAAATGAGCACTATAGATCAAATGTTGTATGAAGCCTTCCTGCCAATTCATTCACTAGTTTAGGTCATGTTAGCTGCTATTGTCTTAGATATGTTTCCTAAATGTAAGCTCCCAGCCTATATGTTAGCCATCTTCTAATTTATCTAAGGTACAGGTGCTCCCCTGCAAAATTCAATTCTGGCAATCTTCTTTACATAAATGGTTGTTTAAATCACTTCAGAGTTCTTGTGCTGCCTTCTACCACTAAAACAACTTACCATGCTAAGTGGAGGTATACTCTCTACTGGTAAAAATAGTTATTAACATGACTGCTAACTACACTGATGGAAGTAGGGGAGGGGAAATATATGTACTGAGACTCTATTGTGATGAGCATCCAGAAGGAGAACAGGTGTAACGTTTACAGATGCCTGAAGTCACTTTGAAGTTTTTGTTGAGTGTATAACCCTTCAGTAAAGTTGTAGACTGATAACCTCAGATGTAAGACCTGGAAATGCTAAGTTCAGTGACTCTGTCTGAAACCTAATAAACCAAATTCAGTCTTGGTCTGATCAAATATAACTCCTAGGGAAGTCTTTGGACCAAATGAAACAGTCATTTAATAACATCAACAGTGATGTAAATTATGAATTTGAGGTCAAGTTCTTTTTAATCTGGTGTAACTATACTGACACCAATAGGCTTACTTTACTTTTATATCAGTGTATTTCAGAACAGAAATAGAGCTGAATGTAAATGGCCCAAAAAAGGGTGCCAGTGACAAAATTTCATAACATACACTGAATGAGTATTTGTTGATTGCACAAAGTGAGTGTAGTGACCACGCTGAACTGGAGTTCACTGCAATTACCAGGAATATGAGATAAATCAGTTCCCCTTCTCTATATTACTCCCTCAATTAAGCTGATTTTCTTTCTCTACTTATTTCTTCCTTCTTGGCACATTGGTTATATTTGTTATGCTACCCCAGCAAGGCAACCAGCCACAAGTTCTACTGCCAGATACGTTGGCTTCCAGATTTAACTTAAAATGAATGTATATCTTACACCACCCCTGATTTTGACATAATGGATAGGATCCTGACTAATCCTGGCCTTATTCTAATAGCATTTTAATGGCATGCTCCTGTTTTGCACCAGAATCTCTTAGATAAGAGACATATTCATTCTCTTTTACTGTTAAAACATATATTTTCTAATGCATCTTTATTCACATCACTATTCAAGCTCTCAAAGGCTCTTTGTTGTGGGCACAACATAGATTATAAAAACATACCTGGGTTTCGGCACTCGTTCATCAGGAACTGGTGTCCAAGTAGAATCTGGAGACTTTTGTTCTTTGAATCTCCCCGTAAATACAGTGGCAATGTCAAGCATGTCATAGGCACAGACAGCAGAGCCAGGGATGCTGTAAAGTGACATTTCCCAGAAATTGTTACTCATTCACCAGTTATGCATAAAATTTTGACTGAAAACCAAGCTGTACAGAAGTCTTCCTGTCACAGGCTACTCAAACCTGACCTTTCTAACCTCTGGGTATTGACAGTAAAAGGCCGCCCCATGCAAAAAATTTAAATGTACCAATCGGCAGTCAATTCCTGTCAGTACCATTTGTTTCCAAAAGCCTCTGAAGAAAGAACTAATTGCAAAAAATGTAAAGAGAGGAAAGAATCTGGGAAACTCTGCCTGCCTTTGGTGATGCAAGAAGAGTCATATTCTGTCCAATTATTTGGAAATTCAAGTTCTTGTAAGTTACAACACAGTCTCAATATTACTTCCCACAATTCTTGCGGGGTCTCTAAAATACAGTCTAGAGATAATTCAGAAGTTGGAGCTGATCCATCTGTATGCTGAAGCAGCCTATTAAGTCTGAAAGCTGAATATTATTATACTATCCTTTCAATGTTCTGATTTCCATCAGTTTTTCCTTTACAGTTCTAACCAAGTTCCCCTACACAGGAACTTGTTTAACTCAATCAGCTGCAATTATAGAAACAAATTTTGCTTCTAGCCACTAAAAAAATTAAAGGTGAACTTTACATGTAACCAGATAGTAGCAATAACTAAATATAATTACATCCTTACATAAACACTTTTGGAAAGGTTTCGAGGTTTCCCTTGGTCAATGGCTTTAAGGCATGAATTATTCATTTAACTACCTTTATTGTTTACACATGAACTACTGCATTCATGTCTGATTTTAGCTACTTGATTTTGATAAGATAAACAGTGAGCACCAGCTGGCCAAGACTTTTAATCATGCTTTTAGCTAGTGGACTATTATGCATCAACCCCCTTTCCCCAGCCCTCCCCCCCTCACACACACATTGGCCCTGGTCTTTGAAATGAGGAAACAATAGTAGAAGGAATGCAGTGGGTCTTAGAAGGAACATATATTGATATGAACATAATTTTGTAATTATTAATGAATGTTTGTGATTTTAATTTCAAGATGCTTCATCTGGATGTTGCAAGAAATATGGGATAACTTTAGCCCAGTTTAAAACAAAGGGAGATGTTTGGATCTCCAAGGGCTGGTTTCTCTCATGGAAGGAGACCCATTTTGAAAGGCACAGTGGGTCCAATGAGTTTTAAAGAGGGAGGGCCAAATTTATTCTAGTACAAATTCGCCAGGGTTAAATTTGGCCCTTGGAGCCAAGAGAGACCTTGAGCACATAGGGCGCAAGCTTGGAAAATACTAAGAAACTCCTGCTGGTGCTGGGCACCTTCAGCTCTCACTGAAATCCAATTGCAGTTGGAAGCTTGACATACACAGCAAAAATACTGGAGAGCTGGATGCCCCAGTTCCCTATGCACTGAGGAAAAGGTATGTGTGGCATACCCATACCTCTCTCCAAAGGTGTGGCTGCTCAGGATCCCAGTATGTGGATTCATATAGAGGAAACTGACCCAGGCAAAAAACTTCAGTCCACATCCTAAAGATGCCATAACCCAGCACCTACTACCCATCACTCACTTCTAAAGTGGGAATGAGGGTTCAATTCCAACAAGCTAAATAAGAACCTCTGTTTTCATGAACAAAGCCGTTTCTAAGTCTTTTGTCAGTGCATTAATTTCATCTGCTGCTTGCACAGATCTGTTACTGAGGTGTTACAATGCATCTTCCTTCTTCCTCCCAGTCCCCATTCACTTCAGAAAGGCCAGGAGGAACAATACTTTTGCTTTTCATATGAAGGGAACATTTGTAGCTACATTAATAAAGGTTACTAATGATGAAGTACAAAACACTAATTCTGATGACATATTTCTTCCTTTCTGGTAATGTCCTGTAGGTTTTGTTTATTTTTCTTGTATTAAGAAGATGTGTGTTAATCTATTTCTGCTGTTTAGTTTTCAACTGAAGTCATATACTCCATTTGTGGTGCAAACATGCCATAGCAGCTACTCTAATTTTGCTGTCAAAAGCAGTCAGTAATTATATACGATAGACCTGTGCTTACTCTTGTTGGAAACCAGTGAGAGTTTTTTCCAATGTCCTCACTGAAGTTCACCCTTTGACTCTGAGGGGCAAATGTATGGCAAGAACAGATGAATTCCAGCAATAAAGTTCACATTTTAGTTCAAGTGTTCCTTGACATAAGAATAGAGAAGAAGCAGACCCTCTGTGGCCCAGCAACAACTTTTCTTTAATTAGAACATTTTTAAAAAACTTTTCCTGGAAACCTCAGTAATTAGATGCAGGTACATGTTTTAATAACTTACTGAGAAGCATGTAATAATATATACTAGTAACAAATTCTTAACAGATGAGGTGATATTGTAGATCGCTCTATAAGGCTTTCTATAAAATGCAGGTGTTAGAACAATGGGTTCCATTATTAATATTAATGGATTGTATTGCAACAGTGCCCCCAAAAAGATGAGGGCTCTTTTGTATTAGATTCCTTTTACCCAGAATGCCCTGGCTTTCCTCCCAAACCACAGAACTCTTTCATGTTAATGTCATGGAGTGGAGTTTAATGGACTTAGAAGGGACAGAAAGGATAGTAGACCAGATCTGAAGCTTTTACTAAATACTCCTCTATAAAATTGTGGGTGTGATCAGCAAAGATTAATACAGCATGATGAGGCTCTATTAACTTCCATTGCTTTCCCTGGCGATCTGTAGAGTTCCTGGGGGCTTTCTGGAGGCAAGCAGCTATCCAGGTGGAGCCCTTGAGAGCATGGCTCTTCCAGAAATCATGCAAAGGCCAGAAAGAATAGATGGAGCCTGTTGGACAGTGGAGGTGAGGGATTTCAGTATAGCTCTTGGAAGATCCTTGAGTAAAAGGGCTAGCACCTACTGCATCTTCTATGGGCAACCAGCAGGGAAGAACATACTCCTTTAATGGGAAAACTATAAGTTGAAACTGTAAAGCCTCTTGTTCCTTACACAAAATTGTTCTAACATAAAAAGGGAATGAATTCAAAGTATGTGCCCACATGGTACCTTTTTTAAAATTATAGCTATATAATGTAATAAATAATACCAGCCTACATTAAAAAGGATGACTGAGTACCCATTTATGCATGATGAAACAATATTTAAATTCTGGTAACTGTTTTTTGTAGTTTACAGTACAAATAGACACTAGAATGAAAAATTGTGACGAACACAAAGAGAAAGGCTACTTCTCTGGATACCTGTTATATGGAGTGGAGAAGGTTGCTAAAACAACATCCCGGCCATTGAAATGGATAACATCTGTAACTGCCTGCAGTATATTAAAGTAGAAGTGTGAATCGCCAGGAACTGAGCAGTTCAGGCGGGCCTTGAGAAAGGAAGTCCACTGTTTTTCCAGCACTCTCTGAGATCCTCCCATATCATTCTTGCAAACTTGAGCCACTCTTGGGAAAACTACCTGCAGTGAATGGGGGAAAAGCAGAGATAATGGAATATTTGTTTGATCATAAAGACTTTATTGGAGTTCTGCTGTTAAAAAAAATGGAAATGACATAGTGAGGTGCTTAATTTAATCCCATGTTTCTATAATCTGTTACAAATAACAAACAGAGGAAAATTCAGCTTGGGAACAGTGTGCTATAAAAGATAAGGCTGTGGCATTTAATATACAGTCATAAATCCTTCAGGAGATCCACACTCAGCCCATATACACTCATTTCCATACAGACTGCTTAGCTTTGTATTTCCCCAAACAAAAGGACATTTTATATTCACAATCCCTTCAACCCACGCTGCCTGCTCAGAGTATTGTGTCTTCAGCACTTAAAACTATGCAAACCTCGCCGGGCTTTTATTCATGCCCTCCACCTTTGTGACCTGGGTCAGCTTTTTTGTCTGCTTAGTCAGAAAGCTATTGTGGAAATATAAAAAAAATGTAGTAAATGTTTGACTGTTCTTTACAATATGGCAAAGAATAAAATTCTTGTTCCTGCTTACTCTGCGCCACTGATTCAGATCTCCTAAAGATAGCTGCCTCTTGCTTTGAAGACAGGTTTTTTTAGCTGTTACCTGATAGATGGAATTAAATATATTTGCCATTCCCTTTGCAGGGTTAAATTAAAGAAAGAGGAGATTCCAATGCATATTGTGACAATTGCAAACTATCATGTGCTTCAAGACAGTGCAATGCAATGTTTCACTC